GTTGGTGGGGTGACGTCACTAAACTCGTCGGCAAAGTCAATGGTGAGAAGTTTCCCGCCAAATATTAATCGTGGGAGTTGGGGGTGACGTCACTAATCTTGCCAAGAAAAGTCAATGGTGGTGTTTTCCCGCCAAAATTCAGCGGACGTGGAAAGGGGGCTGACGTCACTAATCTCAGCAAAGTCAACGGGGAGAATTTTCCCGCCAAAAATTAATGGCGGTTTGGGGGATGACGTCACTAATCTCATCAAAGTTTATGGGGAGAGGTTTCCCGCCAAAAAAATAATAGCGGTTGGTGGGGTGACGTCACTAAACTCGTGGGCAAAGTCAATGGTGAGAAGTGTCTCGCCAAATATTAATCTTGGGGTGACGTCACTAATCTTGCCAAGAAATGCAAATGGCGGTGTTTTCCCGCCAAATTAGCAGGGGGGGTGGAAGGGGGATGACGTCACTAACCTCGCCAGCAAAGTCAACGGGGAGATGTTTCCCGCCAAAAATTAATGGCGGTTTGGAAGGATGACGTCACTAATCTCATCAAAGTTAATGGGAAGGGGTTTCCCGCCAAAAAAAATAATAGCGGTTGGTGGGGTGACGTCACTAAACTCGTCGGCAAAGTCAATTGTGAGAAGTTTCCCGCCAAATAATCGTGGGGTTGAGGGGTGACGTCACTTATCTTGCCAAGAAAGGCAAATGGCAGTGTTTTCCCGCCAAATTAGCAGGGGGGGGGGTGGAAGGGGGATGACGTCACTAACCTCACCAGCAAAGTCAACGGGGAGATGTTTCCCGCCAAAATGTAAGAGGGGGGGGGGGGAATTGGGGAGTGACGTCATAAATCTCGCAAGCAAAGTCAATTGGGGAGAGGTTTCCTGCCAAAATTTTAACAAGAGGGTGAGGGGGGGTTAGAGGAGTGACGTCACTAATCTCAGCAACGTCAATGAGGGAGAGGTTTCCCGCCAAAATTTTAACAAGGGGGGCGGGGGGTGAGGGGGGGTTAGAGGAGTGACGTCACTAATCTCAGCAAAGAAAAATGAGGGAGAGTTTTTCCCGCCAAAATTTTAACAAGGGGAGCGGGGGGCGGGTGAGGGGGGGGGGTTAGAGGAGTGACGTCACAAATCACAGCAAAGAAAAATGAGGGAGAGGTTTTTCCCGCCAAAATTTTAACGCGGGGGGGGTGAAGGGGGGTTAGAGGAGTGACGTCACAAATCTCAGCAAAAAAAAATGAGGGAGAGGTTTCCTGGCAAAATTTTACGTGGGGGCGGGGGGGGGGTATAGGAGCGACGTCACAAATCTCAGCAAAGAAAAATGAGGGAGACGTTTTCCCGCCAAAATTTTATCAAGGGGGGCGGGGGGTGAGGGGTTAGAGGAGTGACGTCACAAATCTCTTCAGCAAAGAAAAATGAGGGAGAGGTTTTTCCCGCCAAAATTTTTACGCGGGTGGGGGGGGTGAGGGGGGGTTATAGGAGTGACGTCACATCTCCTCAGCAAAGAACAATGAGGGAGAGGTTTCCCACCAAAATTTTAACAAGGGGGGCGGGGGGTGAGGGGGGGGGGTAGAGGAGTGACGTCACAAATCTCCTCAGCAAAGAACAATGAGGGAGAGGTTTTTCCCGCCAAAATTTCAACGCGTGTGGGGGGGGGTGAGGGGGGGGGGTTAGAGGAGTGACGTCACAAATCTCAGCAAAGAAAAATGAGGGAGAGGTTTTTCCCGCCAAAATTTCAACACGGGGGGTGAGGGGGGGGGTAGAGGAGTGACGTCACAAATCTCAGCAAAGAAAAATGAGGGAGACGTTTTCCCGCCAAAATTTTATCAAGGGGGGCGGGGGGTGAGGGGTTAGAGGAGTGACGTCACAAATCTCCTCAGCAAAGAAAAATGAGGGAGAGGTTTTTCCCGCCAAAATTTTTACGCGGGTGGGGGGGGTGAGGGGGGGTTATAGGAGTGACGTCACATCTCCTCAGCAAAGAACAATGAGGGAGAGGTTTCCCACCAAAATTTTAACAAGGGGGGCGGGGGGTGAGGGGGGGGGTAGAGGAGTGACGTCACAAATCTCCTCAGCAAAGAACAATGAGGGAGAGGTTTTTCCCGCCAAAATTTCAACGCGTGTGGGGGGGGGGTGAGGGGGGGGGTTAGAGGAGTGACGTCACAAATCTCAGCAAAGAAAAATGAGGGAGAGGTTTTTCCCGCCAAAATTTCAACACGGGGGGTGAGGGGGGGGGTAGAGGAGTGACGTCACAAATCTCAGCAAAGAACAATGAGGGAGAGGTTTTTCCCGCCAAAATTTTACGTGAGGGGAGGGGGGGATGAGTGGGGGGGTGACGTCACAAATCTCAGCAAAGAACAATGAGGGAGAGGTTTTTCCCGCCAAAATTTTACGTGAGGAGGGGGGGGGGATGAGTGGGGGGGTGACGTCACCAAACGAGCGCTGTAGGATTTGAGGGAAAATGTCTAATTGCAATTCTTCTGACAGATATCGTGATTCGATTTGCCGATTTGCAATATTCACTGCCTAATGGATTTTAAAACACGTGATGGAGCATTACCACGTGACACCATCAATATATATAATACTTCTCCATATATTCTAATGCGAGGATGAGAACTTAAAAGATACCAATTGCTTCCAACATGCATTCATTAAAATGTTTTAACTGAAAGAACAATCAAACACGGAGCAATTGTTAAGTTTTCCAGAAAGCACCAAAGTATGGATTCCTGCAGTCACGAAAGCTTCAAATCAAGATTATTTTTTTTTTAAAGTTGTAATAATAATAATTAAAATATTAAAACAATTCTAATGAGAACGTAATTGGACTTTTTAAAATCGCTAAAAAACGAAAATCACAGCCTTTGCGATTTCACAATCGCATTTTTCAAATTAAGATTAATCGATTTCAAATCGATTAAACGTTCATCCACACGCCAAACTGGTCGGGCAAAGTCAACGGGGGAGAGTTTCCCGCCAAAATTTTAAACGGGACGGGATTGTGACGTCACAGATCTCAATGGAGGGGCTTTGGGGGAATGTGGGGGAGTTTCCCTCCCAACTTAACAGGGCTGGGGGAGAGATGACGTCACTAATCCACTCACCCACTCACTCACCGATTCACCACACACTCACCCACTCACTCACTCACCCACTGACCCACTCACTCACCCACTCACTCACCCACTCACTCACCGATTCACCCACTCACTCACCCACTCACTCACCCACTGACCCACTCACTCACCCACTCACTCACCCACTCACCCACTCACTCACCCACTCACTCAGTCACTCACTCAGTCATTCACTCACCCACTCACTCATTCAGTCACTCACTCAGTCAGTCATTGACTCACCCACTCACTCACCCACCCACCCTTCTCACTCACTCACCCACCCACCCACTCACCCATCGATTCACCCACTCACTCACTCACCCACCCACTCACTCACCCACCCACTCACTCACCCACCCACCCACTCACTCACCCACCCACTCACCCACCCACCCACTCACTCACTCACCCACTCACTCACCCACCCACCCACTTACCAATCCACCCACTCACTCAGTAACTCACTCACCCACTCACTCAGTCACTCACTCACCCACTCACTCATTCAGTCATTCACTCACCCACTCACTCACCCACTCACTCACCCACTCACCCACTGACCCACTCACTCACCCACTCACTCACCGATTCACCCACTCACTCACCCACTCACTCACCCACTGACCCACTCACTCACCCACTCACTCACCCACTCACCCACTCACTCACCCACTCACTCATTCAGTCACTCACTCAGTCAGTCATTGACTCACCCACTCACTCACCCACCCACCCTTCTCACTCACTCACCCACCCACTTACCCATCGATTCACCCACTCACTCACTCACCCACCCACTCACTCACCCACCCACTCACTCACCCACCCACCCACTCACTCACCCACCCACTCACCCACTCACTCACTCACCCACTCACTCACCCACCCACCCACTTACCAATCCACCCACTCACTCAGTAACTCACTCACCCACTCACTCAGTCACTCAGTCATTCACTCACTCACTCAGTGACTCACCCACTCACTCAGTCACTCACTCACCCACTCACTCATTCAGTCATTCACTCACCCACTCACTCATTCAGTCAGTCACCCACTCACCCACCCACTCACTCACCCACTCACTCACTCACCCACTCACTCACTCACCCACCCACTCACTCACCAACTCACTCACCCACTCTATCTCTCACCCACTCACTCAGTCACTCACTCACTCACCAACTCACTCACCCACTCACTCACTCACCCACTCACTCACCCACCCACTCACTCACCAACTCACTCACCCACTCTATCTCTCACTCACTCACTCAGTCACTCACCCACTCACTCACTCAGTCATTCACTCACCAACTCACTCATTCAGTCAGTCACCCACTCACTCACCCACTCACTCACTCTCTCACTCACCCACTCACTCACTCAGTCACTCACACACAGAGACGCTAGACACACAGACACACACACAGACACACACAGACACACACACACTCACACACGCACACACACACAGACACACACACACAGACACACACAGACACACACACACAGACACACACACAGACACACAGACACACACAGACACACACACACTCACACACGCAGACACACACACACAGACACACACACACACAGACACACACAGACACACACACAGACACACACACACACAGACACACACACACACACACACAGACACACACAGACACACACACACACAGACACACACACACTACACACACACAGACACACACACAGACACACAGACACACACACACACAGACACACACACAGACACACACACACAGACACACACACACAGACACACACACAGACACACGCAGACACACACACACACAGACACACACACAGACACACACACACAGACACACACACACAGACACACACAGACACATACAGACACACACAGACGGCTTTGAGTGACTTTATTTGATTGACATTCACAGCCCTGCGTCGCCTGCACAGTCAAAGTGAGAGGCTCCTTCACCACGGCCGCCTTTGTATCCCCATCACCCCCACAGACTCCTCGTGGTGCCAGGCTAGGTGCACAAGACGCCACGGGGCGTGGTTAATGCAAACGAGCGAGGCGTGGTTTATGCAAATGACGAGGTGGGTGGGCGTGGTTAACGCAAGTGTCGAGGTGGATGGGCGTGGTTAATGCAAATGACGAGGTGGGTGGGCGTGGTTAGCACAAGTGTCGAGGTGGGTAGGCGTGGTTAATGCAAATAACGAGGCGGGGGCGTGTTTAATGCAAATTAGGAGGGGCGTGGTTAACGCAAATGTCGAGGTGGTTGGGCGTGGTTAACGCAAATGTCGAGGTGGGTGGGCGTGGTTAATGCAAATAACGAGGACGGGGCGTGGTTAATGCAAATTAGGAGGGGCGTGGTTAATGCACATGCCGAGATGGGTGGGCGTGGTTAGCACAAGTGTCGAGGTGGGTAGGCGTGGTTAATGCAAATAACGAGGCGGGGGCGTGTTTAATGCAAATTAGGAGGGGCGTGGTTAACGCAAATGTCGAGGTGGTTGGGCGTGGTTAACGCAAATGTCGAGGTGGGTGGGCGTGGTTAATGCAAATAACGAGGACGGGGCGTGGTTAATGCAAATTAGGAGGGGCGTGGTAAATGCACATGCCGAGGTGGGTGGGCGTGGTTAACGCAAATGTCGAGGTGGGTGGGCGTGGTAAATGCACATGCCGAGGTGGGTGGGCGTGGTTAATGCAAATAACGAGGCGGGGGCGTGGTTAACGCAAATGTCGAGGTGGGTGGGCGTGGTTAATGCAAATAACGAGGGCGTGGTTAATGCAAATTAGGAGGGGCGTGGTAAATGCACATGCCGAGGTGGGTGGGCGTGGTTAACGCAAATGTCGAGGTGGGTGGGCGTGGTTAATGCAAATAACTAAGCGGGGGCGTGTTTAATGCAAATGAGGGGGGCGTGGTTAATGCACATGCCGAGATGGGTGGGCGTGGTTAGCACAAGTGTCGAGGTGGGTAGGCGTGGTTAATGCAAATAACGAGGCGGGGGCGTGTTTAATGCAAATTAGGAGGGGCGTGGTTAATGCACATGTCGAGGTGGGTGGGCGTGGTTAATGCAAATAACGAGGTGGGGGCGTGTTTAATGCAAGTTAGGAGGGGCGTGGTTAATGCACATGTCGAGGTGGGTGGGCGTGGTTAATGCAAATGTCGAGGCGGGTGGGCGTGGTTAATGCAAATAACGAGGCGGGGACGTGGTTAATGCAAATGTCGAGGTGGGTGGGCGTGGTTAATGCAAATGTAGAGGTGGGTGGGCGTGGTTAATGCAAATAACGAGGGCGTGGTTAATGCAAATTAGGAGGGGCGTGGTAAATGCACATGCCGAGGTGGGTGGGCGTGGTTAACGCAAATGTCGAGGTGGGTGGGCGTGGTTAATGCAAATAACGAGACGGGGGCGTGGTTAATGCAAAAAACGAGGCGGGGGCATGGTTAATGCAAATGTAGAGGTGGGTGGGCGTGGTTAATGCAAATGTAGAAGTGGGTGGGCGTGGTCCGAGCACACGAGTAAGGGGTTGTTGTGGGGGGTGGGGTCCCCCGTCAGCCGAGGAGCCAATGGGGAGGCGGCTCGAGCAGCGAGCGCGGCCAATCGGATCGCGAGTAGAGGAGACGGCGGTCACAGCGCTCCCCAGCGTAGCCATCTTCACACCTGGGGGGTGGGTGGTGGTGGTGGTGATCAATACTTCGATCGATCGTCAGAGAGGGCAGGGGGGGGTGATCGGTCATCAGAGGGGGGTGATCAATACTGTGATCGATCGTCAGAGGGGGGTGATCGATAATCGGGTGGGGGTGATCAATACTGTGATCGATCGTCAGAGGGGGGTGATCGATAATCAGGTGGGGGTGATCAATACTCTGATAATCAGAGGGGCGTGATCGATAACCAGGTGGGGGTGATCAATACTGTGACTGATCGTCAGAGGGGGGTGATCGATAATCGGGTGGGGGTGATCAATACTGTGATTGATCGTCAGAGGGGGGTGATCGATAACCAGGTGGATGTGATCAATACTGTGAGCAGTAATCAGATGGGGGTGTGATCGATAATTGCGATCGATACTCAGACAGGGTGATCAATAATCCGATCGATCATCATATGGGTGATCAATATTGTGGCATATAACCACAGCGTGATCAATAATGTGATCCATCATGCTATCTTTCATCAGATGGGGATGAGCAATAATGTGATTAATAATGTTGTATTTCATAAGATGGGATGATCAGTAGTGCAATCGATAATCAGATGGGGGATCAATTATATTATCGATAATGTGATGGATCATCAGATGAGATGATCGATAATATGATCGATAATCAGATGGGGGGATCAATACTACGATCAATATTGTGATCGATAATCCGGTGGTGCGATAATTAATGTGGCCGATCATCATATTGGGTGATCAATAACGTGATCGATGACATGGATGTGATCAATAATGTGACCGATAATCAGATGGGGTGATCGATAACCAGGTGGGGGTGATCAATACTGTGATCGATCGTCCGAGGGGGGTGATCGATAACCAGGTGGGGGTGATCAATACTGTGATCGATCGTCAGAGGGGGGTGATCGATAATCGGGTGGGGGTGATCAATACTGTGATCGATCGTCAGAGGGGGGTGATCGATAATCAGGTGGGGGTGATCAATACTCTGACTGATAATCAGAGGGGGGTGATCGATAATCAGGTGGATGTGATCAATACTGTGACTGATCGTCAGAGGGGGGTGATCAATACTGCGATCGATCGTCAGAGGGGGGTGATCGATAACCACGTGGGGGTGATCAATGATATTATCGATAATGTGATGGATCATCAGATGAGGTTATCGATAATAAGATCGATAATCAGATGCGGTGGGATCAATACTACGATCAATATTGTAATCAATAATCCGGTGGCGCGATAATTAATGTGACCGATAATCAGATGGGGTGATCAATAACGTGATCGATGACGTGGATGTGATCAATAATGTAACCGATAATCAGATAGGGTGATCAATAATGTACCACTGCTAAGTACCACTTAGTACTAAGTACCAACACTACTCCCACCACCACCACCATCACCACCACCACCATCACCACCACCATCACCACCACCATCACCACCACCATCACCACCACCATCACCACCACCACCATCACCACCATCACCACCACCACCATCACCACCACCACCATCACCACCATCACCACCACCATCACCACCACCATCATCACCATCACCACCATCACCACCACCATCACCACCACCACCACCATCACCACCACCACCATCACCACCACCACCATCACCACCACCACCATCACCACCATCACCACCATCACCACCACCACCATCACCACCATCACCACCACCACCACCATCACCACCACCACCACCATCACCACCACCATCACCACCACCATCACTACCACCACCATCACCACCACCATCACCACCACCACCATCACCACCACCACCATCACCACCACCACCATCACCTCTCACCTGCATCTCAGCTGTTTCGTCTTCTTCATACGCAGCAGCTGGCAAGCCCCGTGCAGACAGTAGAGAGACGCCCGTCCTTTGCATGGTCCTAGAGATGTTAACATGTTAACAACATGTTAACAACATGTTAACATGTTAACAACATGTTAACAGCTGGCAAGCCCCGTGCAGACAGTAGAGAGACGCCCGTCCTTTGCATGGTCCTAGAGATGTTAACAACATGTTAACAACATGTTAACATGTTGTTAACATGTTAACAACATGTTAACAACATGTTAACAACATGTTAACAGCTGGCAAGCCCCGTGCAGACAGTAGAGAGACGCCCGTCCTTTGCATGGTCCTAGAGATGTTAACATGTTAACAACATGTTAACATGTTAACAACATGTTAACAACATGTTAACAGCTGGCAAGCCCCGTGCAGACAGTAGAGAGACGCCCGTCCTTTGCATGGTCCTAGAGATGTCAACATGTTAACAACATGTTAACAACATGTTAACATGTTGTTAACATGTTGTTAACATGTTAACAACATGTTAACAGCTGGCAAGCCCCGTGCAGACAGTAGAGAGACGCCCGTCCTTTGCATGGTCCTAGAGATGTTAACATGTTAACAACATGTTAACAACATGTTAACAACATGTTAACAGCTGGCAAGCCCCGTGCAGACAGTAGAGAGACGCCCGTCCTTTGCATGGTCCTAGAGACGTCAACATGTTAACAACATGTTAACAACATGTTGTTAACATGTTGTTAACATGTTAACAACATGTTAACAGCTGGCAAGCCCCGTGCAGACAGTAGAGAGACGCCCGTCCTTTGCATGGTCCTAGAGACGTCAACATGTTAACAACATGTTAACAACATGTTAACATGTTGTTAACATGTTGTTAACATGTTAACAACATGTTAACAGCTGGCAAGCCCCGTGCAGACAGTAGAGAGACGCCCGTCCTTTGCATGGTCCTAGAGATGTTAACATGTTAACAACATGTTAACAACATGTTAACAACATGTTAACAGCTGGCAAGCCCCGTGCAGACAGTAGAGAGACGCCCGTCCTTTGCATGGTCCTAGAGATGTTAACATGTTAACAACATGTTAACATGTTAACAACATGTTGTTAACATGTTAACAGCTGGCAAGCCACGTGCAGACAGTAGAGAGACGCCCGTCCCTTGCATGTTCCTAGAGTGACTGACTGACTGAGTGAGTGACTAACTGAGTGACTGACTGAGTGAGTGACTGAGTGACTGACTGAGTGACTGACTGAGTGACTGACTGAATGAGTGATTGACTGAGCGACTGAGTGACTGAGTGAGTGACTGACTGAGTGGCTGAATGACTGAGTGAGTGACTGAGTTACTGACTGACTGAGTGACTGAGTGACTGACTGAGTGACTGGGTGACTGAGTGGCTGACTGACTGAGTGACTGAGTGACTGAATGACTGACTAACTGAGTAACTGAGTGAGTGGGTGATTTACTGATTTACTGACTGAGTGACTGAGTGACTGACTGACTGAGTGAGTGAGTGACTGACTGAGTGACTGACTGAGTGACTGAGTGAATGAGTGACTAGGTGAGTGGCTGAGTGAGTGACTGACTGACTGAGTGACTGACTGACTGACTGAGTGACTGACTGAGTGAGTGACTGAGTGAGTGACTGAGTGACTAACTGAGTGACTGAGTGAGTGACTGACTGAATGAGTGAGTGAATGAGTGACTGACTGAGTGACTGAGTGACTGAGTGAGTAACTGAGTGACTGATGGACTGAGTGAGTGAATGAGTGACTGAGTGAGTGGCTGACTGACTGAGTGACTGACTGAGTGACTGACTGAGTGAGTGAATGAGTGAGTGAATGAGTGACTGACTGAGTGACTAAGTGACTGAGTGACTGACTGAGTGACTGAGTGACTGACTGCGTGACTGACTGAGTGACTGAGTGACTGACTGAGTGACTGACTGAGTGACTGACTGAGTGCGTGACTGAGTGACTGACTGACTGACTGAGTGACTGACTGAGTGATTGACTGACTAAGTGAGTGAATGAGTGACTGACTGAGTGACTGAGTTACTGAGTGACTGACTGAGTGACTGACTGAGTGAATGAGTGACTGACTGACTGAGTTACTGACTGAGTGAAAGACTGAGTGAGTGACTGACTGACTGAGTGACTGACTGAGTGAGTGACTGACTGAGTGACTCACTGAGTGACTGACTGACTTTGTGACTGACTGAGTGACTGACTGAGTGACTGAGTGACTGACTGACTGAGTGACTGACTGAGTGAGTGAGTGACTGACTGACTGAGTGAATCAATGACTGACTGAGTGACTGACTGAGTGATTGACTGACTGACTGACTGAGTGACTGACTGAGTGACTGAGTGACTGAGTGACTGACTGAGTGAGTGAATGAGTGACTGACTGACTGACTGAGTGACTGCCTGAGTGACTGACTGACTGACTGAGTGACTGACTGAGTGACTGACTGACTGAGTGACTGAGTGACTGACTGAGTGACTGACTGAGTGACTGACTGACTGAGTGACTGACTGAGTGACTGACTGACTGAGTGAGTGACTGAGTGACTGAGTGACTGACTGAGTTACTGATTGAGTGACTGACTGAGTGACTGACTGACTGAGTGACTGACTGAGTGAGTGACAGAGTGACTGACTGACTGAGTGACTGACTGAGTGACTGACTGAGTGACTGAGTGACTGACTGACTGAGTGACTGACTGACTGACTGAGTGACTGACTGATTGAATGAGTGACGGACTGACTGACTGAGTGACTGACTGAGTGACTCAGTGACTGACTGACTGAGTTAGTGACTGAGTGACTGACTGAGTGACTGACTGAGTGACTGAGCGACTGACTGAAAGACTGACTGAGTAACTGAGTGAGTGACTGACTGACTGAGTGAGTGACTGAGTGACTGAGTAACTGACTGACTGAGTGACTGATTGAGTGACTGACTGAGTGACTGACTGATTGAGTGAGTGACTGACTGACTGACTGAGTGAGTGACTGACTGAGTGACTCAGTGACTGACTGACTGAGTTAGTGACTGAGTGACTGACTGAGTGACTGACTGAGTGACTGAGCGACTGACTGAATGACTGACTGAGTAACTGAGTGAGTGACTGACTGACTGACTGAGTGACTGACTGAGTGAATGACTGACTGAATGAGTGACTGAGTGACTGACTGAGTGACTGACTGAGTGACTCACCAGGGTGAGGTTCACAGAGGCAGTGTCTGACTGAGTGACTGACTGACTCACCAAATAGTTTTGCCCGAGCTCGTGATTTCTTTCCACCTTTAGCTGTCTTCCTTGGGGTGGAACAGCAAACCTCACCTACAATCATCATCATCAGTAGTATCATCATCATCAGTAGCAGTGTCGTCATCATCATCAGTAGTATCATCATCAGTAGTATCATCATCATCAGTAGCAGTATCATCATCATCATCAGTAGTAATATCATCATCATCACCAGTAGTAGTAGTATCATCAGTAGTAGTATCATCATCATCAGTAGTAGTATCATCATAATCAGTAGTAGTATCATCATCATCATCATCAGTAGTATCATCATCATCAGTTGTAGTAGTATCATCATCATCATCAGTAGTATCATCATCAGTAGCAGTATCATCATCATCATCATCATCAGTAGTAGTATCATCATCATCAGTAGTATCATCATCAGAAGTATCATCATCAGTAGTATCATCATCAGTAGTAGTAGTAGTATCATCATCATCAGTAGTAGTATCATCATCAGTATGTAGTATCATCATCATCAGTAGTATCATCATCAGTAGTAGTATCATCATCATCAGTAGTATCATCATCATCATCAGTAGTAGTATCATCATCAGTAGTATAATCATCAGTAGTAGTATCATCATCAGTAGTAGTATCATCATCAGTAGTAGCATCATCATCATCAGTAGTAGTATCATCAGTAGTAGTATCATCATCATCATCAGTAGTAGTATCATCATCATCAGTAGTAGTTTCATCATCATCAGTAGTAGTATCATCATCATCAGTAGTATCATCATCATCAGTAGCAGTATCATCATCAGTAGTAGTATCATAATCATCAGTATCATCATCATCATCATCAGTAGTATCATCATCAGTAGTATCATCATCATCATCAGTAGTAGCATCATCATCATCATCAGTAGTATCATCATCAGTAGTAGTATCATCATCATCAGTATCATCATAATCATCATCAGTAGTATCATCATCAGTAGTATCATCATCATCATCAGTAGTATCATCATCAGTAGTAGGATCATCATCATCAGTAGTAGTATCATCATCATCATCATCAGTAGTATCATCATCAGTATCATCATCATCATCATCAGTAGTAGTATCATCATCATCATCAGTAGTATCATCATCATCAGTAGTATCATCATCATCAGTAGTATCATCATCATCATCAGTAGTATCATCATCATCAGTAGTATCATGATCATCAGTAGTAGTATCATCATCAGTAGTATCATCATCATCATCAGTAGTAGTATCATCATCATCAGTATCATCATCATCATCAGTAGTATCATCATCAGTAGTATCATCATCAGTAGTATCATCA